TCATATCTAAATATCGGTCAACGAAAAAATTCATCTCGGCATTATCTTTAATTATTCATAAACTACGAAATAGTACATTAATTAGTAGCGATTAAAATGAAGAATAAATGAGCATTAAAATGTTGATGTGGAGTATACACGTGATGTAAAATTGTTTTGTAGAGTGAAAATTTTATCCGGCGATATGTTGCACGCACAGTGCCGTTAAACAACGGTGCATGGGTCACATTAACACCATAAGTCCGAGGGATTCATATAGCGTTGGTCCGTTGCGTTGTGCATCCGATATTGATCTAACAGCATATTCTTCGTAGTAAATAGCTACGGACATAATTTGAACCTGCATATTTCGCTATCTTTTTATTCTAACGTTTCACGAGTTTCAATTTATTTCGTACAAACGAACGATAAGGTAATTCACATTTGAAAATATACGAAGATTAACAAAGAAATCGCAGGTTTCTTCGTTTATGAAACGCGAGATAAAATAGTATCACCAGAGACAGTTGTAATACGAAGAAAAATTGAAACTCAAGATTAGAATATTCAAAAATATAATTTACATTGAAAACGCTTAAATAAAATTGGAGTATTTAACCAAAAAATCGCTTGGTAATACAGGTTTCTTCGTTTATAAAACGTGGGATAAAATAATATCACCAGAGACAGTTGTAACACGAAGAAAAATTGAAACTAAAGATTAGAATATTCAAAAATATAATTTACATTGAAGAAGCTTAAATAAAATTGGAGTAATTAACAAAAAAATCGCTTGGTAATACAGGTTCCTTCGTTTATAAAACGTGGGATAAAATAATATCACCAGAGACAGTTGTAACACGAAGAAAAATTGAAACTCAAAATTAGAATATTCAAAAATATAATTTACATTGAAGAAGCTTAAATAAAATTGGAGTAATTAACAAAAAAATCGCTTGGTAATACAGGTTTCTTCGTTTATAAAACGTGGGATAAAATAGTATCACCAGAGACAGTTGTAACACGAAGAAAAATTGAAACTAAAGATTGGAATATACAAAATTGAAGAAAGAATACAGAATAGGATATCACGAAAAAGAAAAATTCCTCCCAATAAAAAAATTATGATTTCTCTTTTACCAATCGACGAAATATCACATCCGTAAAAATAACACAACGATTGATCATTTGATCGACTGATCCCCTATTTTCTATCAATAAATTTCTAATCAGCCGCAAAGTTGTGCATGCTACCTGTGTTCGTGATAGGGGTGGCGCAAGCGCGGATGTAACCAGTAACTTCCGAGAAAAACAGATGGTCGGTGGCGGATTCACGATACCAACAATTTGTTCGCATTCAGTACGAATCCGGGTGCCGGTAGAGAAGCATGCGTTTTCATCTGCCGGCAATAGGAAATGTCAAGACGACACCTCATCGTTAATTAATTAGTTCGATTAATCACTTCGGTGTGCCTCGCGAAAATCGGAAAATTAATTATACTTGAAAATTTGTTCGTCGATTCGCGAGAGAAATAACTGACGTTTCTACGATACAGTGGTTTACGTGATTTTAATTAATATACGCTAAAATTTACTTCTCGTGTGTTCGCACAGTACTTTTGTAACGTTATCTACATTTAAGTGTTTCTACTTTTAGTAACGAAGGGAAGATAAGTTTTTATATTTGATATATTTTCGTATTTTGTGTGGCAAGAAACATTTTCTTCTTATTTACTTAATCGAGAGAAGTTTTATTTAACGAAACTTTTTGTTAATTTGGAATTCTTAATCTACGTAACTCGTATAAGAAAGTATTTCACGAACACTTGCTAAAAGTGTACAATTTTAAGTAGTGAAGAATCCTTCTTCAAACACCATTTGAAGATCTGAAGTAATATGAATTAATGAATGTCAAAGGAAAGTTTTAACATCCTTTTTAAGTTGTAAAAGCATCAACTCGCAATTATTCACGTTCAAATATTACGAAATACTTAAAAATCAAGAATTTTCTCAATCACAAAAATATAAAATTATACTTAAAAATTCGAAATATCATAACTTCGCGGTAATACAATTTTTAATTTAAATTTCCACAAAAGAATTCGTTTCTAAAAAGAAATTATTTTAACTTTCCCATCTTGTCGGAATTAATATTAACACATGTGAAGATTGGAAAAAAATTTCAAAATGCTGCACGGTACAGTATCGAAAAATCGTACGAGACACCTAGCGCCAAGTGAACGTGTAAAAGAGAAATTTATTAAAAGTGCAAATCACATCGATCATAAACATTTCACTTAGTACTCCCCTAAAATTACCACCTATTTAAATTCATCACAGTGCGATAAAATTTCCACGCGGTGAACACGCACAAATGATCCACATTGAAGAAAACGCTGCGAGGTTCGTTCGACACGGTGGAGAAGTTAATCGAACCGAGAATCTGGGGGAAAATCGGTAAATAGGCCGTCTCCTTTTGCGCGTGAAGGATCGTAGCAGGCAGATTCACAGAGTGGCTGACGTTTTCGTAAGGTCGTTGATCGATAATTTTATCGAGACAAAAGGGACCAGCGGTGAGAGTGTCTCCGGTGAGAAGCAAGAAATCGCTTGATAGAAAAGTTTGCAGCTACTTTCCAGCCTCATGGCGAGGCACCTGAAGCGAGGGACATCCTTGAAAAAAGGTATGGCACTGCGGACAAGCCACTAGGCGAACACTCATTTAGAACAATGCCACTGTAATTACTACGCCAGAAGTAAGAACTTCTCGAGCTCTGCGTTCCTTTTCTCTCGACTCGGCGGGCCATCGACCCTTCTTCGCTTTTCCCGTTTACACACGGAACAATTTCACGTGAAATTAATCACAATTCTACCACGATCGAAGGATCTCTCGGTCACTGAGAATATTCTCCGGTGTTTCTGTTCAATTCAAAAGATATTCGATTCGCCAGAGTTGATTGATAATCTTTCTTTTACCTTCTTCTTTGATAATTACCTCTTCGTCGCGAAGGAAGTTAACTTCTACGCCTGTTTACCTTGAAAGAAGATATTTCATTTTCCGTCAGGCTCGATTAATAATTTTCCTTCTCCCTTCGCCTTTGATAATTGCCACTTCATCGCGAAGGAAGTTAACTTCGACGCTTGTTTATCTTGAAAGAAGATACTTCGCTTACTCTCTGAAAATTAATGTATTTTAAATAGAAAATGGTGAAATTTGAAGGAGATATTCGATGAGCAAAATATCTACAATTCGCTATGTTTAAATTATTTGTGGATAGCAAATAAACGGATAGCAAATAAATGAGTAAAATAAAAAAAGAAGAAAATAGTGAAATTTTCATTTTCATTTATACGAATGTGATGTGAAATGTGCAGTATTGAAAATTTGGCTATTAAAGCCAGAAAAGAATCTAAATAAATTATGATGGTTATTGCTAAAGAGAATCTCTTCTCTCTAATTTACTTTCAGTTATATCTTCGAAATAGTATAAATTTGAAAGAAATAATGCAGGTACATTAATATAAACATTGCTTCTTCGCATAAGTATTTCGGAGAGCTAATGAATTTCAATTTGTCGAATAATATGGCTATTATTAAAACGAACATGTGTTTTGTACGAAATTGAAATGTAAACGAATATATCCGGGTCGTTAGATATTCAGTTCCTGTGTAATTAAGGTTAACACAAAGAAAAAACGAACGTCGTTAATTGGAGTTATTGTTAGAATGGTTAGGCTACGAATTGTGGAACTTATAAGAACCTGAACTGTATGTACTGCTAGAAATGTGTACAAATTCATTCCTCTTCGTATCTGAGTTAAGAAAAAAAACATTAATTATAGTATCCAAATGTAATTTTATAAATGCTTCATTTTATAAGCTTCATCGAATGAAAATTGTAATAATACTTGTTGAACGTTTCACCATTGTTCGAGTATAATTATAAAATAACGAATTAGTTCGTTCGAGTTTCGTTGAACTTACTTGCAAATTCACGTTATTACGCGTTAACTTTCGCTCGTAATTTGCACAGTGAAATGTAAGCTCACGGTAGCCAAAGATTGATACGTTCAATTAGACTCGTTACTTGACACTCGTGTAACGCATCATTTGAACTTTCACGTTTGAGAAAATACAGTTTTCACAGGACTGAACAACCATTTGTTACAAACACTCCTGCGATTAAACGATCCCAAATATAATGTCACGTTCGTTTAAAGTTCATCTACTAGCAGTCGTCCGTTTCATCCTTTTTTAACCTTGAATCTAAGGTAGAAAGCGCATGATCTACCTTATTTGATCAATATAAACCGAAATCTATGTGAAGTTTGAAAGAAACGGTAATAATCACGCGATGTTAGTATCGTGCGATCAGTGCAGATAGTACAGCGATTTTTAACTCAAACACTACCCTGTATATCTAAAGTGTACAAAAGAAGTGCTTTTTACACGTGAAATTCATTATTTAACACACTTTTCATTTAGTTTCTTAACAATACAGTTCGACAATTTTTTTTTAGAACAGAATAAACAAAATTTGAAAAGTTATTTCTAACAGTATCAGCAAAGTATTTAAATTTCTTTTCTCAAAGCTTCATTTCAAAATATGTGCAAAGTATTCACTTTTATTTTTATTTTTTTTTCTTGGCTTTCTCTGTGTTTTATTTTACGTTTCTTAGTAACATAGGAAACCAGCAAAGTATTTAAATTTCTTTTCTCAAAGCTTCATTTCAAAATATGTGCAAAGTATTCGCTTTTATTTTTATTTTTTTTTCTCGGCTTTCTCTGCGTTTTATTTTACGTTTCTTAGTAACATAGGAAACCAGCAAAGTATTTAAATTTCTTTTCTCAAAGCTTCATTTCAAAATTTGTGCAAAGTATTCGCTTTTATTTTTATTTTTTTTTCTCGGCTTTCTCTGCGTTTTATTTTACGTTTCTTAGTAACATAGGAAACCAGCAAAGTATTTAAATTTCTTTTCTCAAAGCTACATTTCAAAATTTACGCAAAGCATTCACTTTTACTTTATTTTTTTTCTCAGTTTTCTCTGTGCTTTACTTTAAGGTTTTTTTAGTAAAGTAGGAAACGAACTCTGTTCTGTTTAAAAGTGAATGCAAATTCATACTTCTGCAAACCGAATAGTAGACACGATAACACCTGGAAAGGCTGTGGTATCCGGCTTTCTCTGTGCTTTATTTTACGTTTTTTAGTAATTTAGGAAACTAAATTACTAAATAAGTTTTCTCTGTATATATATGAAACCAGCAAAGTATTTAAATTTCTTTTCTCAAAGCTACATTTCAAAATTTACGCAAAGCATTCACTTTTACTTTATTTTTTTTCTCAGTTTTCTCTGTGCTTTACTTTAAGGTTTTTTTAGTAAAGTAGGAAACGAACTCTGTTCTGTTTAAAAGTGAATACAAATTCATACTTCTGCAAACCGAATAGTAGACACGATAACACCTGGAAAGGCTGTGGTATCAATTTCTGTGCAAGGGGTGTTTCTAATGCCAAGGTCTTGTCTTCGATTGTTCCTGCTTGTTCACTTAAGTGAATCGGACAGTGCACGTCTACTGACATTTCAATCCTGAAATTAGATTTTCCAGAAATTTGCAAATGAACCTAAATACGATCTGTCGATGTTGCAGTTAAAGAAAATAGCAATTACACGAATTGTCCGTTTACAGTGATTATTGATAATTTTGTCTGTCCCAAGTTGCACACTTTTTCACGTTTAAGTAAGTATGAAGAATATTGCGAAGCGCTAATTGATTTTATTTCGAATACAAATTTGCAAACGTTGATTCAAAGGAAGATTATAAATTATTCTAATTTATCTAGTTTCACATTCGCCGTTTCTATTGAACATATGAGCAATTATACGCGAGAGACGACTAGGCTTATTTAATATTAACGAAAGTTTTACTCTACCTGCCAGTGAGATGCATAAATTAACATCTTTGTGGATCCTCTGTTTAATTAAAATATTATAAATTCAACAGTGTATAAATTAAAATTGAATTTATTTTGTAGTTAGCGAACATGTATACTTAATTCAGAAATGAACGAACTAATTTCGATCGGTATAAAGAATAAATTACAGCATGGATGAAGATAAACTTATTACAATACACTGTGCTGTTTATTTCTTCTGATATAGACCGAAACGTATCGATTTTCTTCTTTGAAGCATGAACAATGAAAAGAAGAAAAGAGGGAAAACGTTGATTTTGTAAGCAGAGTCGATTCACAAACCCCTCGAGTACTGAAATCAGTTCTGATCTAGAAATTACCTTCGAGATTCACGCGACGTTTACGAGGAACGAACATAAATCGAGGTGGACGACTTAACAAATGGATCAAGTAAACGCGACATTCCTTGAGAAACGTCCTCGATTCACCGCGTACGTGTGTACATTGCGGTATCGTTATTCGCGTTCAGGCGATGTTCGTCCTTGCACCCCTAGTTGCACCGCAATTAATATGCACATCAGTTAGTAGCGTATTACGCGCGAAAAAGGTATCAAGATTGTGTGATACCACGGTTATTAGTTGGACGATAAAAACCGGGTGGACTGTTCCTGAAAGAATGACTTTCCTTCTTAATGTCTCTCGTTAACGACGATTTTTCCTTACTCTATGCGAAGTCGTGAAAATCGTTTACATAATATTTGTGCATTATGTAAATTTTGAAAAACAACGTTAAAGAATGTTTGATAATTTGAAGGTTATTTCTTGTTATGACGTTAAAAAAGAATTTTTTCAAATACAGTAGGACCCTCTATAACGCGGGAATTATAGCACAAATTATGTTCCACCGAGATCGCTTTTTGGGTCAAACTTAATTAACCCAAAATTACAAATTCAGAATTTGTATGTTCTTTTTTTTTTTGATTGCGTTATACAGGGTCAAAACTTCTTCGATAACTCATATTTGTGAGTTTGTTTATGATATCTTTGCAAATTTACCTTGCTGGATTATTAATAATATTTGTTTCGCTCCATTTTATTTTCTGAAATATTTCATTAAATATTGCACATGACTTCGAACTTAATTAGCTGAAGATACACGTGCGTTAATTGCAACAACAATAGAATATTATAATTATTGGAACAAAATTGACGCTTATCATATTTTCTTTGTTTTTCAGGAAAACGAGAAGCTGGTGGAAGTGGAAACTGCGTAGGTAATTGTCCAGGTTCGACAGGAGGTCCACCTAAAACCACTAACAATATTGCTGGTTACGCTAGTGCACCTGGGGGTGCCAATATGACCCCCGAGGTTACTGCTCCCGATGAAGAGTTCGCTATAGACATTACTCGTAAAACTCAGGTGAGATAGATTTTTCGGTTCTATTTGTATACGTACGTACTCTTCCATTCATAAGTATTGCAATACTTACTGAATGTAAAGCATACTGATTTTTATTGAATTCTACTGGAATTTATTGAAATCTACTGAACTCTGCGGAAATCTACCAAAATCTACTAAAACGTATCGAAATCTGTTGAATTCTTTTATTAACCCTCCGTCGGGCGCACCTGATCTCTCAGGCACAACCATAATTCATCTATGTACATAGACGCGATGCGGTGCGCAATTAATATCCAAATGTGCTAAAAATGTTGATGGTTTTTTGTTTACACTCATGTTCTATTATTCCTATGATTAGTTACTTTCCACTTGGTAAAAGACCTCTTGAAGGCCGATCTCTAAGATCCAGTGCGCCCGATGACGTTTCAGAAATGGGTGCGCCCGACGGAAGGTTAACATCTATTGTATTTTGTTAATATCCATTGAAATCTTCTGAAACCTTCGAAAATCTATTTAAAATCTGCTGAGTTCTACTATGAAAACTTACTGTATTTTGTTAATATTCATTGAAATCTTTTGAAACCTACGGAAATCTCCTAAGATCTACCGAAATCTGTTGAATTCTACTGAAATCTACTGAATTCTGTTATAACCTGGTGCACTCTGCTGAAATCTACCAAAATCTATTAATACCTATCGAGCTGTTGAATTCTACTACTAAAATCTGCTGTATTCTGCTAATATCGATTGAAATCTTCTGAAACCTACGGAAATCTCCTAAAATCTACTAAATTCTACTGAAATCTATTGCAATCCACTGAACTCTACTGAAATCTACCAAAATCATCGTAGAGTGATAGTTTCTAGTATTTGGTCTATGTACTCGTTTTGAGAAAGTGCCACTTTAAGTCTAAAAAAAGTTGACTAATTTACTAGGGTCATAGTTGTCCAGATCTCTAATCAAATGTAATTCTGTAGGTTGATGAAACAGCTTGTTCCGACTCTAGACATCTAAATTTACATTAATTGTAAGTCTATGGGGACGAACGGTAACGTAATCGGCAAACCAGCTAATTTCTCATCCTTGGACGGTCTACCCTGAAGAGTCTAAATCAGTATCGCGATTGTATGGCACCTTACTTACGCTGAATTTTGGATAAGCTTTTGCACAATGACACAGCTTCAAATTTCCAGCCTACCTTTACCTTGTAAATCTTGTCCATCTTTACAAACACGAGTACCATTAGCTTCAGCATTTCAAGCTCTATCATCGTGCAAAAGCTTATCAAATCTCGAGCGTAACACTTCGAGACCTATCCACCAAATCTGTCACGTCGTAGCTTTACGACATCGCTGCTTGAAACCGGAAGTGATCAATGCATATGGACTGCAGAAACGTAGATTTTCTGCATCCATAAAACACTTTTAAACGAGGTTTAACCGAGACATCTGGCTCAAAGAGCATCGAATACACAAGAATCGTTGGACAAGAATTGCATCCTGAAAAATGTGTCGTAAACCCGAAGCCTTAATACATACATATACAAATAGTGAATATGTCACGATGTGTATTGCGGTACGTGTACGTATACAAACAACGTGTAAATAAACGAAAACATGTGCAAGTCTGTGTTTTCCATTTAATATGAAATGCGTTGCACGCAGATACATAGTTTCAGTGGTTCGTGTTCTTGTAACAGTAGGAATTTTTCGACGGAATTTACGTGATACGAATCATCAACCTCGTCAAAGGTACGGGCAACCATAGTGTTCCCCACGAAATGTTCCCATCGGTCTTCTTTTGTAGATACAACTCAACGTCGGTTGAATCACAACTCGAAACACACAAGATGTTTAAGTTGCAATTCCTTGTAAAAG